TTTGAAGTGGTAGTAGCTGAGAGTGATTCAAAACGCATACTCTGACTGTGACTTCCTGTGAATTTACATGAGACTGTGCATATGTCAAAAACAACCCATTTCCACACTAAGAAACATTGTAAACAATCAGAAACATTGCACAAACAATTCCACAAGGCTACCCAGCATGCTTTGCAGCTCACACAGTCTCTCTGGGCCTTTCCCACAGACTCTGTGAGTTTGGGGAAAAATAAAATAAAGTTCCACAGAGACAGACATCTTTGCTTTAATCTGGGGACTACAGATATCTGTATTTTAGTGTTAATAACTGTTAATAAGAATTAAATTAACATAAACACGAGTGAAAGGCTGCATGCTCTTTCTCTCTCCGGCTGTGCAGAGAGTTCTGATGAACTGATCATATCAGGGTGTGATCGCCCGCGAGCCGGATTAAACCACAACAAACAGATTTATTACTGGGGGAATATTGATGAGGACGCACAGCAGCTTTGTAGTTAGTTTCAAAACTAGTTAACCTCAAAGAGGGTGAATGAAACGAGTTATTTTAGTAAAAGACACAAAGGAGTCGTTCAACACGCATCGTGCTCGCTTTAGTCCAGCTGAGTTCTGCTCCGCCTCCTTTGGTTCTGCTCAAAGCTCACACCTGAGCGAGACGTGGACACTTCACCTGAGATTTATGAACCGTTTGAGGAAGAACTGGTCTGAGCAGAACTGGTTCTTAATGGACCCACCTGGAACACCAACATGTCGGAATGTTGGAATAATATCTGTGTTAAATAGGAGGTGTAGTGTGTCATTTTTGTTTTTAATATTATTTCACATTAGAATATCACCACTTTTATCGCAAGGAGATTAATCTTGAAATGTAATTTCTTTGAATTACACTTTTGTGTTCTGTTTATTGCATTTATGATTCAATGCAGCAAAATAAACACGTTTAAAAGTTAACATATCATTGTAATACTTGATTTATGTACATAATGACTTTAATTGCTGGATTGCCAGACCCTGGCTTTCAGTAACTGTGACCCCCTGAGCAATAGTTGAACAGCCCTGGGTTTTTGGGGATTGCTGAACATGAGCGTAGAAGGAGTTTACTTCATCAGGTAAAAAGTTATGGTTTGTTGTGTCTATAGTGGAGCTGTTGTAGTTTCTCATCCTTTCTGCACAAGTGAAAAGAAAAAAGAAAAAGGTAACTAATAGTCAACAATATTGGAATGAAAAAACAGTCAACTGGAGTTTTTATTTTACTAAGTTTTAGTGAGGACATGGGCACCAGCAACTTGGATGGATGGATGGATAGATGATGGATGGATATATAGATGATGGATGGATGGATGGATGGATGTTCAAGTGGATAGGAGCTACATTGTGGAGAAGAAGAGAGGCAGGTTGTTTTTTTCTTACATACCATACCACTTTATTTATAGAGCACTTAAAACAGTGACAAGGCCAACCAAAGTGCTGTACAGACAAAACAACAGGTAACACACAAAGCAAAATACAAAATGAAGTAAATCAGAATATAGACAAAAAAACGATGCAGATAATGAGGACAAACCAGTGTGGAGCGTACAGGATCAAAACACAGATCATCTGGTGTTGAAAGCTGCTGAATAGTAGTGGGATTTTAAACGGGACTTGAAAACCGAGAGGGCAGTGTCTTGTTCAAGGCAGTGTAGAGTGACGGGTCCTGGAGAGTGGATGGAGACAGTTTATCCACCACCGTGTGCAATGGTGGAGCCAGGGAGTGGCCAGTGGTGGCCTTGGCCCCCCATAGATTAATCTGCGTCCAATCCAATTATTTGAAGAAACTATACTTTTAATAAGTATATAAAAAAGAGCATAGTTTCTTCAAAATGATGGGGTTGGCCGGTTTACACACACACACACACACACACCCACACACACGCGCACACACACACGCACAATGAGTGTGTGAGTGTGATGTTGGCCATTTTGGATTTTGACTTGGCAAAAGTTTTGAAAGGAACCTTTCTCACGCCTAAGTGCAGCCACACACCAAAATGGAAATCAGCACATTGCTTAGGTATTAAGCAGTTAGGTTTTGGCGTATTTCCAATTCCTCTTCACTCCACGAAAAGATTCTCAAAAATCTCTAATGACCTTTGAATATCTAAAAGAAACCCATTTAATCCAAAAAAAGATGTCATCAGGAACATCCAGTATTCACATTACATTCATAGTTATTTGAATGCTGACCATGATCACAAATACATGTAAAGATGTTTGTCATGATTGGATGTAATTTTACCTTAGAATGTGTACGATAAGAAGATGACAAGCAACAGTTGCCCTCTGAAATACTTTGTGTCGAGGATTAATTCATGACAAATGTTGCTAATGCTACGAACAAACAAACACACATGCACACAAGCAGGAGCAAAAACGTGCGTGCGTGTCAGTCTTAAATGAGAGACAGAGAAAGTTGAGCCCTACTCAAAGCGGAAGAGACACATTGTCTTGATTTGCGGGGATGGACTGCCGTGACATTCAGGTTTTGCTCTGCTCAGGCTGCGTTTCGTGTTGGATACCGAAATGTTTTTGCCAGTGTCCAGAGCAGCGGGGCGTGGTGCCGTCTCAGGGGGGAGCTGGGGCTCAGGGGGGATTAGAGGATCTCTCATCATACAGAGGGACTGGAAGGGGGTTGTTGATGCAATTTCAAAGTCTGCCTTTGCTCCAGCTATGATTCAACTCTTTAATTTATGACTGGAAAATACCCTCATCAGTTGGAAGCCTCTGTTTGTTTTGTTTGTTTGTTTTTGTGCACGTCTATAGCGGATCAATCAGAACAGGAAGGCAAATGTCCCATGTGGATTAGCTCATAGTTCTTAGTTGTCTGCTGACTCTGTAATCCCGGCCTCAGTGATGAACCTGCAGTCCCACACTTCACCTCCCAACATGTCGTTAAAGACAAGAAATAAAGTCCAAAACGCACAAAGACAGAAGAAGAAAAGAAAAATCAGAACTGTTTTCTCGGCATCCTCAGGCTCAGCGTTTCTCACACACACCACATTGTTTATTTCTACACATCTGCCTCCTTTAGAACCTTAAATCATGAAAGAATTAGAACGTCTTTGACAGTTCCACACTCCACTGCCGCAAACTCTTCTTGGCTGTTTTTGTTTTTCATTCAGTTGATCGTGGTTTCAACTGGAAGCCTGAAGTACCATTCATTAAAACATGTGTGGTACAGAAATGTTCTTCCGCTTCCTAACATGTAACATTTACAACGACATGTACTGTATCTGTGGTCCTCCTGTTAGAAACTATTAATCAATCCATGTTTTTTGGCTTTTTGTTGAACTCTCCTGTATTCTGATGCTGTTTAAAGACGTAAATAGTGAATTAAGTTGACTTTATTATACTGTTGTTAATCTAAAGAGCAAAAAGGCTTTACTGTCTCTTTATGTAGTGTGTAGCAGTAGTAGTAGTTCAGCTTCTTAGCAATCTTTGTGTCTGTGGTAGATGTTTTTAATCTGAGGACACATTTTAACTTTCCTTTTCAAGAATTATGATCTGAAAGCAAAGAGTTCAAAGACAGATATTGTGAGGTTTGTGGAGGATTGGTTCCAAGTACAGACTCAAAGGCTCAAATGTAAAATAACAAAATAGTTCATTTAGAAAAACAGAAACCAAAAAAAAATGTGGCAGCTGTAACTAAACTAACATGGTAACATAAAAAACAGGGAACACATGACACAAACCTTGAGGTGAGGACTAATAATGCAGAAATGGGGGATGGTGGAACAGAGAATAATTAAATAGTTGTGGAGGTAAATGGAAAAAGGAAACACCTGGGATAATTGTTGATTGGGTACAGGTGAGGGTGAGTCAGATTGGAGGTCAGATTATGGATCAGATTGTGTTTCTGTTTGTGGGCCAGATTGCTGATCAAAGTGTGGGTCAGATTGTGGATTTGATTGTGGCTCAGACTGTGGTTCTAATTGTGGTTCTGATTCTGATTCTGATTGTGGGCCCCATGGTCTGCTTGATGGTCAGATTGTGGGTTGGATTGTACAGTAGGTGTGATTGTGAGTCAGATTGGGGTACAAATTGTAGGTATGATTATGGGTCTGATTGAGGGTTTTGTGGATCAGATAGTGGTTCAGATTGTGGGTCAGACTGTAGCTCAAATTCTGAATGAGATTGTGGATCAGACTGTGGGTCAGATTCTGGATCTGACTAGGTCCCATTTTGAGATTTTGAATGGGTTAGGCCAGGTAAGGGTAATGGATGGATGATAGATGATGGATGGATGATTATAAATGGATGGATGATAATAAATGGATGAATAGATGATGGATGAATGATGGGTGGCTAGATGATGGATAGTTGGATGGATGGATGGATGGATGGATGATGATAAATGGATGGATAGAAGGTGGGTGATGGATGGATGGATGGATGGATGGATGGATGGATGGATGGATGGAT